TGTATGTAGTNTATGTATATATATATATATATATATATATATATATATATATATATATAATAACATATACAATATACAATATAACATATTGAAAAATATAATCAGCGTTTATAGAACTGAGAATCTCGACCACTGTACAATTTGCCGTGAGAAGTAGTATGTGGCCAACTCAGACTAAAAGCCGCACCCACACCTCGAATAAAGAAATACAGGTGATATTCAATGGTGTAGACGAGCAAGTATGTGTCAGTTTAAGTGCATTTCTATCAGATTGCCAACGATAACCACGATGGTATAGATCTGTTCTTGAACTATAACTATGCAAGGAAATTTCTTAGAAGTGTCGTACACGTAGATTGTTGTATTGACACCTATCGCTTTCTCTTGTCAAATTAGGTAAATTTACTTTCTGAAGCTTTCATCCGGTGGGATGATATCGTGAGGGAAGCAGAGAAGAAATACATGCCCAGGCGTAGCTGAAATCAACTAGGACATATTTTAATAAAGCTATTTTGACTTTTATGAATCCTCTTTTAAAATGATGAGTGTTAGTTATTATCACGAATGTAGCTGCTATGCTAGACGCCTTTGTCACGTGCTTCCCTGAATAATATTTGTCATAACTGACGAGAATAATCGAACACATAAAAATGATACAATAGTTCTCGGAAGGCGAGCTATACATAGCTCACTCACTGGTAAAATATGATAGGATTGTAAATACAGCGTATCACAAGGATAACATGCAATCAGAACTTGCATCCAGCCGAGGCTTGTACGCAAGCAATTCAACCAGCAAGGATATCCGATCTACGAACAAGCACATAGGGTATTGGGCTGATTTTCTCTTGATCACAGAACCTGACAAGAAAATTATAGTATTTAGGTCTATAGTTGGCCTCGACGCATATCGCGTGCCATACAGAATGTATGGTACACCCTGCCCGAGAAAGCGGATTGGGTGTGCTTTATTTTTGTTCTAAAATACCCTACATGTTGTATTTTTTTAAACTGATTGATACAAAATTAGATCACGAGGTTCGGTACCTTGACTCCATCGCAAAGTTTTCTTGTATTTCTATTGGTCTGTACAAGAATAAAAATTGTTGCTGGGCAGGCCGAATCAGTTTTGCGCTTTTCTGATACAAATTCTGATAACCCCCCCCCAAAAACAAATTTGACCTATTTTTAGCGGAGCCGCACTCTCAAGGTACACACAATCGTATACACATCAGAGTAGTATGCGACTATACAGACAGTCAAATATAGGCTATTATTATACTATATACGGCGGATACAGTACATACAGATACGATATATACTGCATTTTAGGTACGGAGCCACAGTCTATTATATTTCTTATAGACTATATGACAGGAAGCGAGGTGAACACAACTACAGCACGCTCATTCGTTCGTATTTACTTTTGAGAAGTATAACAGAGGTACATATTGTCCCTGTTAACACACATAGCCATGATTTCTCAGCAGAATAGCCTGTATTTCAGTATAGTTCGAAACGACGGTGAGTGTGGGGGTACCACAAGGCCCACCGCCACTACAGCTGCATGTCGCCAGATACAGGGGAATGTAGTTTTGTCATCACACACTCCGACGCATAGTATACTTTCGGACCATTTAGATCATGCAAACCATGACACAGATATATCAGAACTCGTGCACCTGTACGACAGGGTGAAAGTATCAGATACTCACCATTCAAGTGGATCGGGAAATATCAATGACTCCTATAGTACGCCTCAGCAATCTACGCGGAGATCCGGTGGTTTAAAAGATGCAGACTGCGGCGCTGTAGTATCGAGCAATACACAGACGCACATCCCGAATACTCAGCTTCTTATTTGCCGTGACAGATTGACTTCACATACGTCTATTGCGCCACACAGTTCATCTCAGGCCGGGAGTGACAGTTTAAGTATACGTAACAGTCCATATACGGATATAGATTCCCCGGGGGGCTTGGGACCACTCAATAGCAATATGGTAGGAGGTGTAGGGGCTGGTTTAGTCGGGACGTTCAGTAATATGAATATGCACTGTCCAGGGCAAACCAATAACCGGACAAATGCTAACACCCACACAGCCTCACACAATAGTCTGGTTACATGTCAGTCACTACCCAATACACCCGTTGGGCCGATACACAAACCAAGAGGTTCACTGTGTGCTCCTGGGGGCAGTTTGGGCTCAGAAATGAGTGAACAATTTGCCCTGGCACTCGGTTTAGCCCTGAAACATTCAGCCACACCAAAGGCAACGCTATCCGCTCACGGCTGTAGGAATATGAAAAACACGGCGGGGCCTAAAGACAGCGCCAAGGCAAAACACAAAGGACCCACTCTCGCTGAAAGGGGTAAAGACCTGGTGAAGAGTTATGCAGATATCAGGCCCAGCCCCAGTTATACGTCGAATTATTCCGGTAACTCCAGTCATAGTGCACGCGCTCAGGCCCACGCTGCGAGAAAGCAGTTGGGGAAATCAAACACCACAGTTAAGAAAGAGAGAGCGGCGTCGTGGGACAATGTCGAGGGGTTGCGATCTGCATTGGATGTGATCGAGAATGAGAATACTGAACCGGATCTGGATGCTACCACAAATAGGTAAGAGCGATATGGTGTGCTATGTAGTAGAAATTCAATCAGAACGGATTTAGGAGATCCCGACGGCAGGCGTGTGTGTGTGTGTGTGTGTATGTGACACGTATGTACACGTGTATGTATTTTTATATATACGTACTCATGTAGGTATGTATGTATGTTTGTATGTACGCATATATATATATATATAGAATGTATATCTGTATATACAGTCTGTATAAACTACAATTATATATATATATGTGTGTGTGTGTGTGTGTGTGTGTGTGACACGTTTGTACATGTGTATGTACGCATATATATTATATATATATATATATATAGTATGTATATCTGTATATACTGTCTGTATAAACTACAAATATATATATGTGTGTGTGTGTGCGTGTGTGTGTGTATGTATGTATGTATGTATGTATGAATATGTATGTATGTGGGCATGTATGTAGATATATATATATCTGTGTCTGTGTCTGTGCCCGTAAACTTGTTTGTGTTTGTCTATGTTTGTGTTTGTATCTATGCATTCACACACATATATATATATATATACATGTGTGTGTGTGTGTACATATATACATATATACATATTCATATATATATATATATACACTGTGTGTTGTGCTGTGCGCCTGTGTCTGTGTGTTGTGCTGTGTGCCTGTGTCTGTGTCTATGTTTATATCTGTGTCGATGCGTGTCTGGGTATGGGTCTGTGTCTGTATATGTGTTTCTCTGAGTGTGTGTGTGCATATACATATATGTATATATGTATATATTATTTATTTGAACACATATATATGTGTATGTGCGTGTGTGTGTGTGTGTGAGTGTGTATATATTTGTCTGTGTGTGTGTATATATGTATGTGTGTGTGTGATATACATATATATATATATGTATGTGTGTGTGTATACATACAGATATTGTATGCATGTATATATATGCGTGTACGTGTGTATATATATATGGATATATATGTACATGTTTATATAGATATAGATATATGTGTATCTATATATATATGTATATTTATATATATATATATATATATATATATATATATGTATGTATGTATATATATATATTGTTTGGTGGTGTGTATGTA